CTGGGCCTAAAATGACATTCTCAGATCTCCAGCTCACTGTGATGAAGACTTAATTTACAGTGTAACGCATTTCTGTAACACACCTTCATCTGCTTTACAAGTGTTACACTTTCATCAAATCCTCAACAAACTTTTCAACAAAAATGAAAAGATTCCCACATTTGATTTTTCATAAACCTGAATTAGCCCTTTGAATTGAGTATAATGTGCATTAAAGCAGACTACTATACTATATTCGAAAGTCCTTCATGGCCCGCGTTATATGACGACATTTAATAATATTTAATAATATGCAAAACTTGGAGTTGGTAGCTTCTAACAATAGTAGGTGCAGTTACATTATCATTTCTTTTGTCTTTTGCCTATCTCAGGATATCCTTGAATGGCAAACATCCCGTCAGTTCTTTTACTGGCGTCTGCGGCGTCTGCTGTTGGAGGATACGGTGCAGAGGAAGATCCAAGCGGCCAACAGCGAGCTAACGGATGGCCAGGTCCAGGCAATGCTGCGCCGCTGGTTTGTGGAGGCCGAGGGGGCTGTCAAGGTACCGCATACTTTGTTCAGTATTCAGAAACCCTGCGTGGAAAATGTAGAAAAACCCTAATTAATATCTCATAGACTCAGTTTCTAAACTGGACGTTTTTTTTTTTTTTTCGTTTTTTTTACGGCAAAAGAGAAGACTGTGATAGAGTATGAGAAACGCATGTGCTCAGACTTTTTCTAACTTATTTTTAGATTTCAGTATCTACTCGTATCCAAAGTCATCAAATCCAGGCCTCTGTGATAAATGATTGAGAGAGTCTTTGACAGATCATCACCAGTATTTAATTGTCTGGGGGAAGAAAGGTTTAGTTCTTTTCAGTGTAAATGTCCAAGTAAACACCTTCTTAGCCCCTGGCAATGATTACAGTGCTCGTGTCTTTTTATCCTGAAACTCTTATTCCTTCTCCACAAGGTGCAAAACCTTGGTAAGCGTTCCTATTAAATCATCGTGATTTAATACAGATGGACTGATAACTGGTAGTTAATGAAAATAAACATCCCTCAGAGATGCATTCTGGCCCAGTCTCGGGCTCAGAGGACCAGCCGCAGGGGTGACATGAGCCTGCCCTGCGTTTGAGATCTCCTCAGAAGTGGCCTTCTTGTTAGCTAATATATTATCCCAATCAGGACTGGCTGTCTTAAGCCACAATTAATCACAGCCCTGGCACGTGCAGATAGGAGAGCAACACGCTGTTTCTTAATTAAAAGCAAACAGATTAAAAATGATTAATAAGGGCATTAAATGTTCTTGTGGACCTCAAGCAGGACTGTTCATAAAAAAGGCAAGAGCCCATTAAACCCCTCAGCCCCCAAATCTTTGCTAAGCCCTCCAGCCTGGCTTTGTTTGGGATCAGAGATGCCAGCACTCATGAATACTAATTTTCCTATCAGGTCCAGTCAACAAGACATCAGACCCCCACTTTGTGCCTGTCCATCTCTTTTGTTATTGTTGATATTATTTGCTGATTCATATTTCATCAGTTTATACAGAATGTTAATATTTCATTTTTCCATGGGACCTTTTTTTTATTTTATTATTATTCCCAATTACATTTGTTCTCACTCACACCATTGGAAAAAGTGTGATTCCTAGGTTTCATTTATCCATAAATACTTGAACGAATGAGGAATAATCTTACTCACAATGATTCATCTTCTCTCCTCTTAACACGCCCTCATTATTCAGGCCTACCTGTGGGATAACAATGAGGAGGTGGTGGCATGGCTGGAGAGGCAACTAGCTGAAGAAGAGGGCGCGAGGTCCGTCGTCGACGAGAACATCAAATACATCCGGCGAGATCACATCCTCAAGCAGATACGCAGGTAAGTCTCAACGATGCCAGCTCAGTGTGGTGAAGAGTTATACAGTGCAAAACATTTCACCTGTAATTACAACAACAAACACGTGAAATCCAGCTTATTAAGCTTTTTCCCCTTTTTATTTCAGCCTCGTTCAAGCCAATCCAGAGGTTGCCATGGATTCAATTGTGCACATGACCCAGCACATCTCGCCCACACAGAGAACCGAGGTGGTGCGCATCCTGTCCACTATGGAGACGTCGGCCTCCTCCTAGTTGGGAGCCCGGCCTCTCCTCTCCGCCTGGCTGAAGAACAGCTCAGGCCACAACCACAGCCAAAAGGAGCCTGGCTCAGCCACTGCTCCTGGCTTAGGCCCGGGCTGGAAACTGAGGCCAGAGGAGCCAACGTGATGGGCCCTTGGCAGCTGCCGGGTTACTGATGATTTGTTGGCTATGATTCTTACTAAGAGTTCAGATGACTGACATCAATTATAACATTTGTAAATTGTCTTACATGTATGCTTGTGTTCAGATAAATCAGTGTATGTTGTATTCAAGTGCAATTGAAAAATGGCTTAAACAATATCTAGTGACTAATATGTAATAATATATTTGGAGTTTACACAGTTGGCCCAAATGGATGTTTATGCTTCCATGATAATCAGTCATTTTAATGTTGTTGTCATATTAAAATGCCCCTTGGTTTGTGACATATGCTTGTTAATATTTGCAAGTGTTTTGATGACCAACTCCACAATGACAACACATTGCTGGGGGCGTCAGCCAGAAAAACGGGTTTTGAACTCCTAAGTAGGAAACACTTAGTTACTGAACAAAGACGGGGAACTGTATAACAGATTTGGACGGGAGAGCCCAGCAGGGAGCAGGGACATGGTCCATTTTAGACCCCGACTGTTTCACAGTTACCCTGCAGTGAGCAATGGGCAACTCGCCTCACAACAAAACCACAGCTGTCCCTTCTGTTGTCGCTCACACAGTACACACACATACACATGCTGCTTCAGATGCACTTTACTGCTCACTGTGCCCTCACAGAATCACCTGCTGCACAGGTTTTAACTGTTGCATCGAGCATACACACATACAGACGGACACGCACAAAGTGATACGAACAGTACCACGCACAGTGATAATGATGGTTAGAATGAGAATTGTTCACACACACACATAGTGGGTAATAGTGTGCTTGTTTAGTAAAAATGGGCTTTTCTTTTTTTGTGTTTGCTTCTACAACCAATCTTTTAAACTTGAGGGGTTTTTTTTAAATTTCTTTTTTAACTGAGGAAATATTTTTGAATTTACAAGAGTTCAATGGCTAAATCATTAAATGTCTGTGAAAGAACAACTACGGTTCACTGGAATTACATGTTACGTGTCTAATTTTACCTCTAATCCACATTAACTGTTCTATTTAACGTTTGTACTGTATGTATATGAAAGGTTACTTATTTTTAATATTCATTTTTGAAAACGCTGTTTGAATTGCATATTACTTGTACACTTGAGTTTGTTACCAATAGACAGGCAAAATGTGGCAACTATATCACACAAGGATTTTTCTTTAAAGGGTACATAGACGTAGAAGAACAGCACCGTAATATGTTAAATTCAGTCTTATAGCAGCTCATTGTGTCATGCTCTGCAGAAAAAGCAATGTTACTTATGTGATATGGCTTCATGGTCTGTGCTGTGCCTTCTTTGTTTCAGTATCAACGTTTAGTCCAGCTGCTTTATAAGTAACTGGTTGTTTACCTACACAAGGATGGATATGAATTTACAGTGATGATCTAAATGTGTCTGCAGATTTAATAAAGCTTACCCAACTTAGTTTGAAGTCTGTTTGTTTGAAAACTTTAAAATCTCCATTTTTTGGGGGTACTTTTAACAAAACTCTATTTTCCAAGAATTTGCAGTAATTTAATTTGTCAATTATCCTTATATATTGATGATCCTCGGGACAGATAACATCACTGGAAGCCTCATTAATTTCAGCAGTCAGTACAAAGTCTATTGCTCTGGAGAGACGTTTTCTGATTACTCGAAAATGATAGTCTTCCCATTCCTCAATCCACAGATGATTAAAGTGGCATTTTCTTCCTGGCTTTTAAACTTCAACAGTATTAAGGAGGATAAAGGAGATCAAACAAATATTGAGGGATCTATCTCATCCTTTTTCTATTTTTTTTTTTTGTCTAATTCTTTCATATCATCCCCTTGGCTCCATCAACTCTTTTACCATCCTACCAACAAATATGTAAGACAAATTGAGTTGCATGCACCCAATACCCACCACAATTATAGGAGGCCCAATAAGAAAATGAGTCATTTGGCGGTATAATTGGAAATGTGCCTTGCTTGGTCTCTCTGGTCTCCCAGAGGGTTTTGCTCATTTGTGGTGGCATGCTAGGTTGGCTAATTCTTTTAATCACAGACAAACTGCAGAATCAGGTTCTTTTTCAACTGCAGGAGTGAAGGGAACAGGAGTGTTTGGACAAACTTGTAGAAAACGACTTAATGTGTAGATTCATAATAAAATACGTGTAGTTACATCAACAATATTGACATGCTTTTTTTGCCTTTTGCTGGTCAAAGAACTACTTTGTAGGTTACAGTAAAGAAACTAAGCCAATTTTTAGAGAATTTAGATTGTTTTACTTTCTAATAGCCAAGCCCAGTGACTGCTGGTTCCAGGCAGAACTGTGACTCAAACGGAGGAGAGTACAGCAAGAAATATTAATGGGAAAAAAAGGAGAAAATCAGTGTCTGCGATGAGATTGAAATGGAAGCATTAAGATAGCACAGAGGGGAGACTCAATCATGCATCTGAGGCAACCATAATTCCACATTCACGCGTCTCAATGACTTGACAGCACTTGAGAGACAATGCCTGTGACCCAGTTGCAGCATTCCAATTATCAGGGTGTATGCAACAGTTGAGATGAAAAGGGAACAGGGTCTTTACAGAGCCCCAGGGCTGTCTGATTACTGCCTGAAAACAAGAGTCTTTTGCCCATGACAAAGAGTAGACCGACACAGAGGGAGCGCCAGGCCCCAGCTGTTCTTGTTCTCTCCGGGCTGGGGATTCTGAGGAGCTCATCTCAACTTCGCCTGCCCATTTACATTTCAACCATATCGGAAAGTTTAGAGCCAGTCAGACTAAGACACTTTTCATATTTCACATTTTTCCTGCCAGTCTTGGATAGAAGCAGATAAGCCTGCTTCTATTACCTAAAAGCAACCTTATATGCAGAATGCCTGTTGTTTTACATGAGTATATTTGTCACGACACATTTGACACGATAGTTCCCTACAAATATATTTCAGATTTTTTCAGTTTCAATGTTTCAATTTATTTCAATCCCCAAATGAAGTCAAATTGATGAATTATCATCAAGTCAAAATGTCCCAAGTCAAAAAAGGAAGTTCAACACCTAAAGTATACTAATATAATGTAGAAGTTTACCATCTATCCATCCTATAGGTAAACAACCAGTTACTTATAAAGCAGCTGGACTAAACGTTGATACTGGAACATAGAAGGCACAGCACAGACCATGAAGCCATATCACATAAATAACATTGCTTTTTCTGCAGAGCATGACACAATGAGCTGCTATATGACTGAATTTAACATTATGGTGCTGTTCTTCTACGACTATGTACCCTTTAAAGAAAAATCCTTGTGTGANNTAAAAATAAGTGTTTTAAAATGTTCAAAAAAAGTATTTTTTTCTCTATGAGTACACTTATATATTTCTTGTCACCACATTAAAGACTGTTTTTATTTCCAAAATATAAGGTATAAAGTCATGATTTAAATCTATTGTTAGTGGACCACTAGAAAATATATTAACATAGCAATATAATTATAGTTGTTAATTCATCTACTTGTGAACTATTTATTTATAAATACATTCAGAATAACATTAAATTAGCATTTTACCTAAAATGTATACACAAGTCTACTATTGTGGTAAGCAGAAGAAAATTACAAAACAAAAAAAATGTGGTTTACAGAACTTAATGATAGCCAATAAATAAAAATTCATATAATAAACTGGTTGTAATAATTGTTAAATATATACATTTATGCAAATTAATTTGATGTGGCAGTAAAAAACCCACGTTTAACCAAAATGTCCACATATCCAGTGCCTATGCATTACTAGCAACTTAACAGGGTGAAGCAAAACGGCACAGGTGGCCAAAGTACACACATTCTTTACTCAAGTAGAAGTACAGATATTTGAGTTAAAAAAGTGAAATTAAAAGTGCTGATTCAACTTCTTTTACTCAAGTAAGAGTGAAACAGTACAGATTCTGAAATGTAGTCAAAGTATAAAAAGAATTCTCTTAGTTTTTTTTTTTGAAGGACATTTCTACTCGCTGTTTCTGTGCAAAGAACTAAAACTTTAAAAAGGGTTCAGTCTCCCTCTTTCATCTTGATGATGGGAAGCTGTGCAATAATGCAAAAAAACATATAAATACATTTATAATTGCCCTCAAATTCATTAAAACTAAAGTAACATGCCTGTTTTGAATATGTAAGGGGCAGATAGTACAGATATTTGTTTAAAAATGTAGGGGTAAAAATAAAAAGTAAAGTACAGATACCTGGAAAAAAAAATATGGTAAAGTAGTATTTATACTTAATTTATACAAAGTATTTAAACTTTTTTACTCCCCACCTCTGCAAAAGGGTATACGTTATAAAAGCTGTCCATTTCCCTTATTAAGTAGCCGGAACAATGCAGCCATATCACACAGTACTTGAGTCCCAGTCTAGCCGGGTTTAAGCTGCAGTTCTAATGGGAAGTAAAATACTGCTGTCACACTATTGGCTTTGTTTGCAGTTTTATGATGGTGAAGTGAGATTTCCCCATGCATTTCAAGGCTTTCCTGATTTATAATGTTTGATGGACTTAAATAACAAAGGGCAAACTGAATTTCTGGAAAGCAATCTCCATCTATAGATCACAAATGAAAATAAATGATGTATTGTATCTTTAATGCAGGGGTGCCGGCCTGCAGAGTTATAGTCAGGCAGTGAATCTCTCCAGGGGCAGGAAGGCAGCCTGTGAGCCAGCTGCATGAGAGGCTTAATGTTCAATCTCCTTTTGAAACGTGCCACAAGGGTCAAAGATTACAACACCCTGTGATCATCACCACATAATGCATACATTCTCATTCTGTCAGAGCTTGGTAAACACTGGCTGACTAACTGAATGCCAGGATGATAGAGAGAAGGGCTAATTCACAAGCAGACAAACCCGCTGCAGACAGAAGAGAAAGAAAGCATCGGAAGACAGAGGGCTTAAGAGCTAATCACCAAGAAAATGTTTTAATCTTAGCTAAAAAATACAGTTTTCATTTTGATAATAGATGGATCCAACAACAAAGCTACCTCAAGAAATGTCTGTTTTCATCTTCAAATGGAAAAATCAATATTATGCAGCAGCTGAGTATAGACAATAACTAGGTTGCTGTTATAGTAGTAGGTTGATACTGTAGATTAATCACTAATATTACTGTAACATAAAAGAAACTCAGCTTAGCCAATATGAAGCATTACATGCAAAAAGCTCCTTATAGCTGTGCATTGCAGACCAGGTGAAGTTGCTCCCTGTACCAAGCAGCCACCCCCTCCCTCCCTCATCCACGTCCCGACATTAACATTCATGGAGCCACTGGAGTGTGGCGAGCCGAGTACATCGAGCCAACGACGAGATGCAGGGACGAGGGGGGGAGAGGGAGGACGGAGCCTCGCCACTCCCCCCACCCCCGATAAGGGCTGGTTTGAAGAAGGGGAAGGGTGGTGAAGGTTGCCCAGTATGGGATTGTGGGAAAGGTCAGCGACCAAGGTGCTACGTCTTTGGTCATATATCACAATTATTACTGTAGGTCATTGACTGGTATGGAAATTATAGGAGCAGTGACAGGTCCAAATGGCATGGTAGAAAAGTGGGCAAGGCCGGGCCAGTAAGAAGTCAACTGTTACTGTATTGCAGTAAATGTAGTTTTCAGCCATGCTAGCGGCGAGGCTCTGGAGGGCATGCAAAAACTTGCAATCAGCCTCAGCGGTTACTGCTAACTGACAAATAGTACAAACTAAGATGGTGAGCATGGTACACATTGTCCCTTATAAACATCAACATGCTAGCATTGTCATTGTTAGCATACTGACTTTAGCATTTAGCTCGTAGCACTGCTGTGCTTAGCCTCACAGAGCCGCTAGCATGGCTGTAGCCTCTTACAGTCTTGTTTGCATTCTTTGATTTTGCATTTTAATTTTACAAAGAGGCCTATAGCGACTACTTAGTCAGCTTCAAAATACAAACAGTAGGCCTACATACACTCAAAGAAGTGTACTATTCTGGTGCAAAGTTGATGGCTTCAAGAGAAGAGAGAAAACACTGAAGAACCTGCAGTCTACTTTACATGCATGCACAGTATAAGCGACTCATTATGAGTTATAGTATGCACAGAGTTGCTGACTACAAGAGTTTTAGCTGAATGCAAACATCGGTCCAGCGGTGGCCCATTTTGAGAGGTGCACCACATTAAAATGCATGCATTACAGGCATATCAGTGGAGCGTGGAATGCCAACTCCCTATGGAAATGTTGGTTTACTGCTTCTCGTCGGGCCTGTGGACGGGTTTGTTTGTGACCAGTGTCCTCTGGCTCTGAAGGACAAAGGCAGACAACCAGGGAAATTATTGTGCTTTACAACATAGAAGTGTCATCTGACAGCACTGGTTTCCAACATTTAAATCAGACAGATAAAATATCTTCCCAAGTTCCCAAGAAAACTGTTCCACATCCAGAA